TCATTCTATGATAAAGCTTGGACTGTAATGAAAACAATTTTCATGTCAAGAAACTTTCACAACTGTCATTGTGAAGATAGCTGCATTTTTATTCCTCCATCTTGGATATTACTCGTGATCCCCTTTCTACAAAAATTGTGATTGGGTAAAATAACATTCAACAGGTTTCTAAACAAATCGATCTAAACAAAGACTTCAGTGATGCAACATGATGCTGCCCTGACACTTGCATCTGGTAGAGAGCAATATTCAATTGGCAGACACTCTATTGCACCGAACTCTATTCCCTAAGTGACTGGTGTTTGTACATCCTGCTGGGAGTGTTCACTTTTCTCTCACAGTGAAACAAGAAAGCCAGGAGGACCATTAGATGCCAATGGGGGACACTCAAATCATAGAGGCAAAAGCAGACACATTTTCTCTTTCAGTTGAAGGAGCAAAGTGACTGTGACTGAAGACACCGAATGAACTGAAGCCATTTGAAAAAAAAGAGAAACTCAAATATGTCATGGAGGGAAGAGAGTACATACCCTGTGGCTTCAGTTTGAAAAGTCCCCTCCTGATTTCCCATTAAAGGTACAGGGATGAAGAGCTGTCTAAACTGTAGGAGCTGATGTACAATAAAGTGCACTACATAAAGCTGACCCTAAGCAAGGGCGAGCTGTGTACTCAACACTTCCGTTTTAAAGAAAACAACTCCCTGAATTATTAAACCAAGCTGTCCACTACAAAGTGAAAGATAGTTACGTGATGATTTTTTTAAAAATGGCTCCATTTTGTACCAAGTCCGTTTCTAAAAGGAACACCTTTGTCTACAATCCAAAACCAGTCTCAAGAAAGCAGCATCTATCTCAGAAAAGCGTACACCATCGTAATTGTGCAAGTTTGAATGATTATTTCGACTGTAGATTTACTTAGCAAAAGTATGGATGTTTATCGAAACTCGGGTTTCTGACCAGCCTCCAGCAATGTCAATGGCAGCAGATGATCCAGTGAGAGCCATGAGAACAGCACTCCGGGCATTTTTCCAACTGCTTTTTTTTTCCATGGACTGCTTGCTGTGAATAATCAGCGCTTTGTGAAGCAGCTGAACCGAGCGGTACAACGAGAGATGCACTGCAACACAGGGGCCGTGGATAGATGGTTGTCATGGCAACAACTGATCCCTTCTTCACAAACTTAGTGTTAGTGCCAGAAAGGATACCTTGGAAATTACCAACACCGGGACAGAGAAGAAGTTCTGCTTCTCATAGGCTTTTTTTTTAAAGAAAAGTCTGAGATACAAGTTCCTCCAAAAGAAACTGTGGCCCAACAAGAGAGTTAAGTCTGAGTACAGAGATTTCGGGGCTGTATAAATACTTTAAGAACGTTGCGTTTTAGCAGCTTCGCCACAGCCTTTGGCTTCAGTTTTCCAACAACATACAGCTGGACAATCCTACAGCTAATAGCATGTGGTTTAAAGCATTCATTCCTCTTCCCCTTATTTTTTGGAATGCATATGCCATCCTAGGAAGGTAAACCTCACTGTTAAAGTGATCTAGAACATAACATGGAAAGGTGAATACAAAAATCAGTTCAGCAAGGAAAAGCATAAAAGAAGACTGATTTCTTTTTAATAGTACAGGACAATTATAGATCACGAAACTAATCTTAATTAAAGTACAGATTTACCCAAAGCAATCCATTTGAACAAGCTAATTATGGAAAGATATTCAAAAACTGGTGTTAAACGTAATGTTCACGTGGTAAAAGAATGTCCTTAAAACCTCAAACAGTTTACAGCTAAATGTATGTTTTACTTCCAAAAAATATTTTTTTAGCAAGGAAAACAAAAAATGGATTAACTATTAACAGTGAAATATGTTTTGTTCTTAAAATTTGAGATAGGCTCTTTTGTTGTTCAAATGATTCCTCTTTCTCCTGCTTTCTTTTATTCCTGAGGAACCTCTGACCCTCTACTATTCACGCTGGCTTCTCCCAACAATGTATGGCAGATCTGGATAAATAGGCCGGCTTTATACACAATGCAAACCACAGATAAAGGCACCTGGCCTTTAAGTTAAAGCAATGGCTAATATTTCATTCAAAAAGTAGCATTTGCGTTCAGTTCCACAAGGTAAGCACATGTTTTCCAGAGAACAAAGACTGCTTTGATGGGGGTGGGGGGGTTGGTGAAGGGCTTGTTTACTGCTTATTTAAATTGATAAGATCTTGCTAAATAGGAGCCACTTGGAAGGTATGCCCCTAAACATATGCGAGCAGTGTTGGAACAGGTTCTAGATAGCTTCCTCCTTTCCTCCTTTAGATGACCCTTGAGTGCTGTGAAACCTTCCCTCCAAATTCCCTAAACTGAAAATCAACATTGTACACACAGTCACATCAGTACCTCAAGAGTTTTATCAACGTTAAACAAAAACAAATAATGGATAAAGGAATAAATGTATTTTTTAAAAACTAATAACAGATTAACGTGTTGGACATTAAATAGACATCTTCAACATAGTAATTACAACACAAGTAACATCAAGTTATGAGAAAACTAAAAGGAAAATGGAAAATCTGTGAACCCATTACTTGCTCGCACAACTTACCGGGATGGTCATATTCCAGTTCTACAACCATCTTCCACACCCACTGTGTTACTTTGAAAATTTTATTTAACAACACAGAGTGGCCAATTACTCCTTTGTTATATCTAACCCGTATTGCACACTGCAATAGGAACCATATCTAATGCACACGCACTATGCATTGCTTGAAAATTCACGTGAGTTTACTGGAAATAGAACCATTGAATTCCCACAGTGCGGCAAGAGAGCAGTCAGCACCGAGTCTGCACCGACCCTCCAAACAGCATCTCACCTTACCCTTTCCCTATAACCATGCATTTACCACAGCTAATCCATTCAGCCTGCATATCCCTGCACACTACGCGCAAAATAGTACGGCCAATCCACCTAACCTGCGCATCTTTGGGCTGTGGGAGGAAACCAGAGCATCCGGAGGAAACCCACGCAGACAAGGGGAGAATGTGCAAACTCCACACAGTCGGTCGCCCAATGCTGGAACTGAATCTGTGATCCTGGTGCTGTGAGATAGCAGTGCTAACTACTGATCCACACTGCCTTCTAGAGCACATCCATTTAAACAGGTTTGTTGCCAATATGATAAATGGTGCTGAGTAAATAGGCACAAGAAGCAATGTGAGGGAATGAGGCCCGAGGCTTGGCTTAGTTTTATTTGAGACCCGGACAGTAATGGGGGAGTTTTGGCATAGTTTTATCTGAGACCCAGACAGTAATGGGGGAGAGCTATGAGTGGGAGGAAGGCTGTGATTCGCCTCTCTCCTTATCACCGTACTGCCCTAAGCACTACCCCCTCACTGTCTTCCCTCTAGGTCTTCTTCCCCCTAGGTCTTCTTCCTGCTCCCCACCAGCCTCCTTTCACCCCTATTCTCCCCCTGCATCCTAACTCCCTTTCGCACCACTGCCCTCACTTCTCCCTGCCTATCCTCACTAACCCCCCCGCTAAACTCTGTTTCAAAAGTGTGTTTCTTTTCTGTGCCTGCTCACTTCCTTTGCATATGACATCATCACAATTCTACCTGATGATGTCAAGTCAGTGCATTTGCGCACATGCACGTTTCCACATCGGTGTGCATGCGTAGTTGCAAGCGACATCTGGAGTCAACAGGTATCAGCTTTAAATCACCTGGGTCCAAAAAGATTGAAGCTATTGGCTCTGATGACAAGATCACATAATATTTTCCCGGCTCTGTAGTAGTACTCTATTGTTTAACTGATCTGTTTGATAATATCAGTCCGTTGACTGATCTGTGTTCAGTGTGCTTGAGTGATTAAGCCTGACTGTAGCAGCTGAGATGCAAAGCATAGAAAAGCTTCCGAAGGAAAGATCAAAGTGGCCAGAGCTCATGTGAGGAGACATTGTGTAATTGAAGAGATATCTTAAATTAAATTCATACACTGAAAACAAGTCCCTCAATTGTTCAGAAGTATATCAGATATATAAAGTCCAGAACAAACCAACAAAACCAGAGCAGATTTGAATGGAAGATTAACTATTCCCGTTCTAACAGATGTCAGTAAAACTGGAACAATTGGGATAAAAAAATCTGGTTTCAACAACACCAGAAGCCCTTAATACTGCTGATTCACATAATCGGACCCTCACAAACTTCCTACTGTGTGATGAATGGAACTGGATACAGCACTCTAGGTGTGACCTATCCAGAGCTTTGAAAATGTTCAGCATAACTTCCTTGCTTTTGACAGGGCAGATGGTGGGATCAATATTTCAGATTTAACTGCCAGTTGAAGGTTCATGCTTGTAACCTTTTCAAATTTATACTCCTTGAGAAATTGCATTCGTAATCTCAGAACCACTTTTCAAAAGTATCTTTCACAGGTTTAAATGTTTATATTCTTAGATTTGATACCTTCCTCTTGCAAAGTGAGGTTCCTGTGAAGTGCTGTGTACCTAACATCAGCAGTGTACTATCAAACCCCACTTTGCTGGGTCTGCCATGTGGTTCGTAATGATGATTCCTGTATAATCTATAGCCAGTAGTGCATCGTCATCCCTAATTTAGATATAGGTACAATCTGAAAGCCAACCTCAGAGTTTGCAAGCTGGACCTCGATACAGGGGGGAATAAGCCACCTTGGGACAGACACAAGTGGAGAAGGCTAAAGCAATTTCAACATTTCAGGAGAACAGAGTGAAATGCCTTTAGGAAAAGTGAGCTTGGCTCATGGCCAATGTCTGCACCCGTTCATCTAACACTAATTTCATTATTTGCAATTGGTTATGCAAATCAACACTTGGTCTTATGTCACATGAGAAGACACCAAGCTAGACCAAAGGAAAAAAAAATGGTCTTTTTAGTTTGCTGTTGTTGCCTTTGTTCACCAAGTACAAAAACTTTTTGAATCCTCCCGTTTGCACATTCCCCATTGGTAGCTCTTAAAGAATTGAAGTACCTGGTTTAAAAATTGCAGCCACTTTTCCAGACAGCAGAGACAGCACGCACAGCATTTTACCAGACATCTGGCACAGGCACCTTCCTAAAAGGGGAGAGAGCAAAACACTCCATCAAATCTAAACATTCTGTCAACTCCAGCACACTTGTAGCCCAAACGAGAGTCTTGCTCATTATTCTTTAAAACCTTTGTTTTATGTCTAGGATGGCAATTCATTCAGTCATTTCGTTTTCTTCCAAGTTGAGAACCAAGAAGCATAGCCAAGGCTATAATTCAGGAAAACAAATTTTAAAATATTACAAGAGAAAAGGAGTTATCAGTGTTATGCTCTGTCAAGTGCTTTAGAGAAATCAGAAATGCAAAACATAGGCAACAATGTCGCAGGTAAACGGTTAAGCAGAAAGTCAGGCAGGTCATAATGGATTAGGCCAAAGCTTATAAGGTGATGGAGAATTTCTCAGCAGTAGCGTCATGTGTTTTGAAAGTGCCACACAAGGACAATAAGTAACTTGTGTCATGACAGCTACAAGGAAGTAGTGAGGTGAATGGTAACAGAGTTTGCCTGGATATAGCACAGGAGTCTACAGGCATGTATCTGGAGGACAATGGGAAGGAACACTACCACAAAAGACAAACCTGCCTTTCCAAAGAACTTTCATGACAACCAGACCTCTTATAATACATTACATCCTGTTAAGTACTTTTGGAGCGTAGTCCCTGCAGTAATGTAGATGATGTGGCAGCCAAGTTGCACACAGCAACTCATATAAATGTCAATGTGATAATGACCTACTAATAGTTTTTTTGTGTGTAATGTTGAATGAGGAGTAAATATTAGCCAGATACTGCTTTGCTACCACTTTAAAAGCTGATTTTATCAATGAGCGTAGGACCAGAATGACATCACATGATCAGTAGCCACAAAAGGTTCAAGAAGCAGCATGTCAGATGAAGGATGTGTACATAAATTGCTCGGAAACTGCAAACTAGTAGTTTGCCTGCGTAGTAGCAGTTTAAAATTTTCAGGTTAATTGTGCCCATGTTAATTACCACTGCAGTTTGAGAGAGATAATTCTGTGTTAAGGAACACGCAGCGTTATAGATACCCAGGATAACTCCCCTGTTCTTCTTCGGAATGGTGCCATGGCAACTTTTACATCCATCCAGGAGGGAAGACAGAACTGCAATTTAACATCTCTTTCACCTCTGACACTGCACTCCCTCAGATGCCCAATGACTGATTTATAAAAGGTAGGAGCCCCGCTGGACCGCTGCGTGAGGTTCAGTATGCACAATTACCCATGTGATGAACTGGTCTGGCAGATGTTGCAAAGTCAACTCAGGTCTTTAGGTTCATATATTCCCTTCACAGTTTGAACCCAATGTAAAGAGTGAGACAAAGGGAGCTGCATCAGATATCACAACCGTTCAAACGAGAGGTAACTGACCATTACACTTGGGGATTAAAAAAGTACTGCTGCCTTTTTAAATGAAATTCATGCATGGGATGACAGCATCACTAGTCAGGCAGCATTCATTGCCCATCCTTAATTGCCCAGAGGGCAGTTAATAGTCAACCACATTGCTGTGGGTCTGGAGTCACATATAGGCCAGACCAGGTAAGGATGGCAGTTTCCTTCCCTAAGAGACATCAGTGAACCAGATGGGTTTTTCCTGACAATCGACAATAGCTTCACGGTCATCATTAGACTCTTAATTCCAGACTTCTTTTTTATTGAATTCAAGGATTCAAATTGGGGTCCCCAGAACGTTACCTGGGTCTCTAGATTAACAGTCCAGTGATAACACCACTAGGCCACCGCCTCTCCTTTTCATAAATCTAAGAAAACATTTCTGCCAAATTTTTGGCTTTTTTGTTGGAGGGAAAAAATAAGTTATAGCTGTAAATGAAAGGATTTACAGCTGTAATGAAGGTATGTGTGTCTAAATAGTACAACCCAAACAGTTGAAAAGGATGTGCATATAGTATCATCTAGATGTGAGGAGCGTTGTGTTTGACACTCCTTAGCAGTGCACCATCCCTGGCAGGAAATGAAAGCCCAGTTCAATGCTATTGATATGGTACGTTTATAAGAGAAGATGGTATGCAGAGTAATCTGGCATCCTACTGAACAGTAGTAGGTGGATGGCCTAACAGTTTGAACTCACAACACCACTATATCAAGCCCCCATCCCACTACCAAATAAAACAATTACGTGAAAGCCAATGCGAGTTGTTTTACTGTATTCTAAAATAAATAAAGCTATCAATACAGCACGGTGTTGAAGACACAGTTGTAATATAACAATTAGGATTGACAGAGTCAAGGAAAAGTGACTTCATTTTCACAAACCTGCCTGCTGCAGAGGCATTTATCCATAAAAGTATCGGCAAGAGTGAGAGACCACCACCCAGTCCTTATCGAGACAAAGTCCCATCTTCATACTGATAATATCCTCCATCACATTGTGTCCCATGGTGTTAAATGGGATGGATTTCAAACAGATCAAGCAACTCAAACCTGGGCATCCATGAGGTGCTGTGGGCCACGAATAGCAGCAGAATTGTACTCCAACACAATCTACAACCTCATGGCCCAGAATATATTATGAAGAGAGGTTGATGTGATGAAGAGAGGTTGCATCAGTTAGGACTATATTCATTGGAATTGAGAAGAATGAGGTTGGGTGGGGATCTCATTGAAGCTTATAAAACTCTAACAGGACTACACGTGGTAAACACAGGAAGGATGTTCCTGATGACTGGGGAGTCCAGAGCCAGTTGTCACAGTCCAAATATATGGAACAGGCCATTTAGCTCTGAGTTGAGGGGTTATTGCTTCAGCCAGAGAGTGAGCCTATGGAATTCTCAGCCCAGTAAGGAAGGCCAAAACATAGAGTGTTTTCAAGGAGGAGTTAGATATAGTTCTTACGGCTAAAGGCATCAAAAATGAGGAGAAAGCAGGAACAGGATGCCATAAGACCATAAAATACAGGAACAGAATTAGGCCATTTGATCTCTTGACTCTGCTCTGCCATTCAATTATGGCTGATGTGTTTCTCAACCCATTTTCCTGCCTTCTCCCTGTAACCTTTGATACCCTAACTAATCAAGAACTCTTCTAGCTCTGCCTTAAATGCCCTCAAACAACTTGGCCTCCACTGCCTCCTGTGGGAATGAGTTTCACAGATTCATCATTCCCTGGCTGAAGAAATCCCTCCTCATCTCAGTTCCAAAAGATCATCCCTTTACTCTGAGGCTTTGCCCTCAGGTCCTAGTCTCTCCTACTAGTGATAATATCTCCATGCCCACTCTATTCAGACCTCTCTGTATTCTGTAAGTTTCAATCAGATCCCCCACGTATCCTTCTAAACTTCACTGAGTACAGACTCAGAGTGCTCATTGCTCCTCACGTGAAAAGCCCTTCATTCCTGGGATCATTCTTGTAAACCTCCTCTGGATCCTCTCCAGGCCAGCACATCTATCCTTAGATATGGGGCCCAAAACTGCTCACAATATTCCAAATGCAGTCTGACCACAGCTTTAAACAGCCTCAGTGGTACATCACTGTTTTTGTCTTATAGCCCTCTTGGAATAAATGCGAACATTACATTTGCCTTGCCAACTACCAACTGAATCTGTATGGGAGATAGGTTAAACATTTGTTCTCATTTTCCTGATCTTTTCCTTGTTTCAACATGACCTACAGCTTCACTCACATAGCACTTTTGGCCAATAAGTTAATATCTTCCTAGCCCATCACCATCTTGTGCCACAGCCATAACACTTTTCCATTTTAAAATTACGAATGAAGGGAATGTGAGATAACTGCAAAGATCAAGTAACACTTCATGTGAACTGTGTGCATTTGGTTGGTGAGGAATAAGGCATGGAAACAGAGTCCAAGACAATGGGGAGGTGCTGGCCTGGTGGTATTTTTGCTGGACTGTTAATCCAGAGACCCAGGTAATGTTCTGGGGACCTGGGTTCAAAGCCCACCATGGCAGATGGTGGAATTTGAATTCAAAATTCTGGAATTAAGAGTCTGATAATGATCATGAAACTATTGTCAATCAATTCCAATTGTTGGAAAAAACCCATCTGATTCATTAATGTTCTTCAGCATAATCCTTACCTAGTCTGGCCTCCATGTGACTCCAGACCGACGGCAATATGGTTGACTCTTAACTGCCCTCTGGGTAACTAGGGATGAGCAATAAATGCTGGCCCTGCCAGTGACGCCCTCATCCCATGAATGAATTTAAAAAAAACACTTTCTTCAAAGCTGTGTTGCTGCTGCAAGTCTGCCAAGCTCATTTTTGAAATTGTGAAACATCGGAAAAGCCAACAGAAAACAATGGAAACCAGAGATAACAGTCACTGACTGACAGACAGCATTGCAGAACACAGTCTCATTGAAAGAAAATATCTTGATCCAGGGATGTGGACTCTTTTGTATTCTCCCCCTTTTACAAACATCAACAGGTCCGATACTGTCCAATGTAATTCATAGATTGATTTGCAAGCACATCTCATTTTGAGAATATTGTTTAAAAAAACATGAGGGAAGAGATTCTGAAATTATTTCGATGTATAAGACATTCTGATTCCAGGAGCAGATCACAAGGTGATCAGTAGGGGTCAGCTCCCCAACACTAATAGTCTGCAATCGATGACTGATCTCACTCAACTAAACACTTTGAACTCGACTACCTCAGCAGGCCTGGCAACAGCTGTGGAGCAAGAAACAGAATTAACGTTTCGAATCTGGTATGACGTCTTCACACTGCCAGATACTGGGCTTTACCGCGAATAGAATGACCCGAACAGGAATGAACTGCATAAAAGCTGAGAGTTCAGAATCAAAGATAAAAAGATCTATTATTAGCAGCCAAATTTGATTAGGCCCAACATTTTTTTGTACAGAATTCACAAGCATCTTATAAATTGCAATTCAGTAAAATGCATTGCTGTTTGTCAAGGGACATAAGACTATTACTATAAATGGTAATGCTCTCTTTAAAACATTGAAAGCACTGGAACTGAATCTCAGACCTGGCTGTTATCTTACCTTTCCCTTCAGACTGCTGTGAATGTACACCAGAACAATCCGTGGAATCCTGACAAGAGCGATTAGAAATGAACCTTTAACAACCGTTCCCAGATGGTAATTAAAGAGCCTCGAAACAGAAGTGAGGGTCGGGTGACTGGGTGGATTCTTTTTGTCCCTGAGGAAAGAATTCAGCGATTGTGAATTAGACTGAGCTCTCCAGCAAAGCAAAGCAAACATTAAATGCGAGCAGGTCATGGTGTTTAAGTGAAGTCAGAAAATCCAACCAGTTCAACTGCTGATAGTGTCAGGTGAGGAGTTGCTGGAAGGCAGTGCTAGAGTTGGAAAGGAGGAAGGGACAGTGGAAATGACAGGGAAATGCTACTGGTATGGTCCCAGTGAGGGGTCGGTGCAACAAAATGGCCAGAGTTTTGCTGCAGATCATTCATCGAATCCTTACAGTGTGGAAGCAGGCCATTCGGCCCATCGAGATCACACCGATCTTCTGAACAGCATCCCACCCAGACTCACCCACATCTTATCTCCGTAACCCTGCATTTCCCATGGCTAATCCACCTAGCCTGTACATCCCTGGACACTATGGGCAATTTAGCATGGCCTATCCACCTAACCTGCACATCTTTGGACACTACGTCTATCTTGGTCTTGGAAATAAGACTGAAGCAAAGGATAATGGAAGAAGTGTGCTTATGTGATTGGAAGCTTGTAACCAAAGAGCTTTCTTAGAGTTTAGTATTGGTACCTGCTTTTCCTGTTATACACCACTGATCTGGAATTGGATGTAGGACATGCAATTTACAGATGACAAAGAAATTAGCCAGAACAGTGAGCAGGAAGTCTGTAGGTTGCAGGATGGTCTATCTGATCAGTTGGGCAGATGGCCATGTGCTCAAAAGAAAACTAAGTTGCTACAAGGTTCATTCTCCACCCCTTCTCCCCTCTCCACCCACCACCTACCAGCCACTCTCACTAACACCACCTCACCTACACCCCCCAAACCCCAAAAAAAAACCTGCCCATGGATGAACATTTGGCCTATTGAGAGAGCTAAGCCAAAACAAAAATGGAACACTGCTGGCTCACCAGATTTCAAAAATATCAAGAACCAGAACCCATTCTGTCATGATACAAGACAGTTAGAAGGGGGTGTTAAGAGTGGATAATAAGGAAAAAGAAGATAAAAATGAACAAATATTTTGCTTCTTGTCATCACTAAACAAGATCAAAAAATAATCCAGCAATACCTCAAAATGAGGAGGTGGAAGGGAGAGAGGAACCTACTGAAAATACAAACATGAGGGCAGTGGTACCGAGCAAACTCATGGAGCTACAGGCTGACAACTCCCTGCATACTGATGGACTGCATCCCAGGGTCTTAAATTAGGTGGTTAATGAGATGGGTGAGGTGCTGACTTTCCAAAATTTCCCAAGTTCTTGAACGGTTCCATCAGATTGGCAAGTAGCAAATATCTTCCTCTATTTAAGAAGGGAGGGAGGCAAAAAACTGGAAACTATAGACCAGTTCATTGATGCCCATCATGGGGAAGGTGTAAGAATTGATCATTAAGGAGTTTATAACTGGGCACTTCGAAAGACACAAAGGTAACTAGGAAGCTTCAGCATTGTTTTGTGAAATGGAAATTACATTTTACCAATCTATTGGAGTTTTTCGAAGGTTTAATGTGCTGTGGATGAAGGGGAGCTTGTAGACACACTGTAATTGGATTTCCAGAAGACACGGCACGTCGTGAAATAAAGGGGGTCTTGTGCAAAGTAGAAGTTGATGGTATGTGGTGGAGGGTATGGGAGGTAGCGATGGGAGACGTTAGCATGGACAGAAGATTAGCTGGCTGCCTGACAGAAAGCAGAATATATACAAATTAGGTCTATTTTTATTTGGCAGGATGTGATAGGTGGAATCCTGCAGACGTCTGTGATGTGGTCTCAGTTTAGAATATAGAACAGTACGGCACAGTACAGGCCCTTTGGCCCACAATGTTGTGCCGAACTTTTACCCTAAACCTAAGGTCTATCTAACCTCCGCCCCTACCTTATACTATCATCCATATGCCTATCTAATAGCCACTTAAATGCCCCTAATGAGGCCGACTCCACTACCCTCTCCAGCAATACATTCCACATATCAATTATATCAATATGAACAAGAGTAGGCCATTCAGCCCCTCAAACCTTTTCTGCCATTCAATAAGATCATGGCTGATCTGTTGCCTAACTCCACATGCCTGCCTTGGGCTCATTTCCCTTGATACCCATGCTGAATAAATATTTGTCTATCTCAGATTTAAATGCATTGATTGAATTAGCAACAAGTGCCATTTGAGGAAGAGAGTTCCAAACCACCATTTCTCTTTGTTTGTAGTGGTTCCTTCTAACATCTCTCCTGAATGGCCTGGCCCTAATTCTTAGATTATCCTTCTAGAACCTTCAACCAGTGGAAATAGTTTATCTTTGCATGTCCTGTCTTTCCCCGTTAATATCCTGAAGACCTCGATTAGATCACTCCTTACCTTCTAAATTCGAGAGAATGAAGGCCTAATTTGTCTAATCTCTCATCATAATTTAACCCCTGAAGTCCAGGTATCATCCTTGTAAATCTGTGTTGAACTCCCTCCAGGGCCAAAACATCCTTCCTAAGGTGGGGTGCCCAGATCTGCTCACAGTACTCTAATGGGGCCTAACTAGGGTTCAGTATAACTGCAGCATAACACTTGCATCCCTATACTCCAGCCCTTTATATATGGCTTAGATGAGTGGGTTGAAGGCATGGCTATAATTTGCAGATGACACAAAGATATGATAGGAAAGTTTGTTGTGAAGGGCACATACAAAGAGATTGCGATTTGACAATTAGGTTTACTGAGGGTGGGCAAAAATCTAGCAGATGGAGTAACATGTGGGAAAATGTGAAGTTTGCTCACTTTTGCTCACCGCAGTGAGACTGTCTGCTCTTAGAAGTCTGGCAAATAGACACACCATTGTTTTGACATTCTCACATTCCAATCACTTAATCTGAACTATCAACAACTTTTCTACCAAAACACTCGACACCCCACCACACCCCAACCAACTATAGCATAAATGCTGCCCCTCCACACTTCACTTCAGCTCTGATGAGGAGTCATCTAGATTCGAAACGTTAGCTTGCTCCCTCTCCATGTATGCTGCCTGACCAGCTGTAATAGAGTCATAGAGTTCTACAGGACGGAGACAGCCCTTCAACCCAAATGGGTCCACGCCGACCAAAATGTCCATCCAAGCTATGCCCATTTCCTTGCACTTGGCCCATATCCTTTTAAACATTTCCTATCCATGTATTTGTTCAAATGCCTTTTAAATGTTGTTAATGTACTCACCTCAACCACTTCTGCTGGCAGTTCATTCCATTTGCATATCACCCTCTATGTAAAAATAGTTGCCCCTCAGGTACCCATTTATTCTTTCCCCTCTTACCTGAAACTGATGTCCTCTCGTCCTCGATTCCCCAGCCCTGAGAAAAAGACTGAGTGCATTCACCCTATCCATGCCTCTCACGTTCTGATATATACTTCTATAGCATCCTCCCTCAGTCTCCTATGCGCTAAAGAAAACTGTCCTAGCTTGTCCAACATTTCCCTATAACTCAGTCCCTTGAGTCCTGGCAACATCCTTGTAAATTTCTTCTGCACTCTTTCCTGTTTAATAACATCTTTCTTATAGCAATATGGCCAAAACTGAAAACAATACTCCAAGTGCGGCCTCACCAACATCATGTATAACTGCATCATAACTTCCCAACTTCTATACTCAATGCCCTGACTGATGAAGGCCAGTGTGCCAAAAGCCTTCTTCACTGCCCTGTCTACCTGTGACTCCACTTTCAGAGAACCTTGCGCCTGAACTCCAAAGTCCATCTGTTCCACTACACTCCTTAAGGCCCTACTGTTCACCATGAAACTCCTATCTTGACTTGACTTTCCAAAATGCAACACCTCACACTTATCTATTGATGTCCATTTGCTATTTCTCAGCCCACTTCCCCAGCTGATCAAGATCCTGTTGCAATTTCTGATAACCTTCCTCACTGTCTACAATACTGCCTATTTTAGTGTCATCTGCAAACTTACTAATCATGCGTTGTACATTCTCATCCAAATTATCGATATAGATAACAAACAGCAATAGGCCCAGCACCGACCCCGGAATCACACCACTAGTCACAGGCCTCCAGTCCGACAAGCATCATTCCACTATTACCCTCTGCTTCCTACCATCAAGCTAATTGTGTATCCAATTTTCCAGCTCTCCCTGGATCCTGTGCGATCTAACCTTCCAGAGCAACCTACCATGTGGAACCTTATCAAAGGCCTTATTGAAATCCATATACACTACGTCTACTGCCCAGCCCTGATCTCCAACATTTGTTGTTTTCAGTACAGATTCCAGCATCTGCAGTAATTTGCTCCTAACAAACAGGAGTATTACTTAAACAGAGGTACAGAGAAATCTCTGAGTCTAGTGTTTGAATCCTAACAAACAGGAGTATTACTTAAACAGAGGTACAGAGAAATCTCTGAGTCTAGTGTTTGAATCACAAAATGTGAGTACAGGTAGAGATAGTAGGAACTGCAGATGCTGGAGAATCCGAGACAACAAGGTGCAGAGCTGGATGAACACAGCAGGCCAAGCAGCATCATAGGAGCAAAAAGGCTGACGTTTCGGCCCTAGACCCTTCATCAGAAATGGGGGAGGGGAAGGGGGGTTCTGAAATAAATAGGGAGAGAGGGGGAGGCGGATAGAAGATGGATAGAGAAGATAGGTGGAGAGGAAACAAACAGGTCAAAGAGGTGGGGATGGAGCCAGTAAAGGTGAGTATAGGTGGGGAGTTAGGGAGGGGATAGGTCAGTCCAGGGAGGATGGACAGGTCAAGGGGGCGGGATGAGGCTAGTAGGTAGGAGATGGGGCGGGGCTCGGGGACCGCTTTGCAGAACACCTACGCTCGGTTCGCAATAAACAACTGCACCTCCCAGTCGCGAACCATTTCAACTCCCCCTCCCATTCCTCAGACAACATGTCCATCCTGGGCCTCCTGCAGGGCCACAACGATGCCACCCGAAGGTTGCAGGAACAGCAACTCATATTCCGCTTGGGAACCCTGCAGCCCAATGGTATCAATGTGGATTTCACAAGCTTCAAAATCTCCCCTCCCACTACCGCATCCCAAAACCAGCCCAGCTCGTCCCCGCCTCCCTAACCTGTTCTTCCTCCCACCTATCCCCTCCTCCCACCTCAAACCGCACCCCCATCTCCTACCTACTAACCTCATCCCGCCCCCTTGACCTGTCCGTCCTTCCTGGACTGACCTATCCCCTCCCTAACTCCCCACCTACACTCACCTTTACTGGCTCCATCCCCGCCTCATCGACCTGTCTGTTTCCTCTCCACCTATCTTCTCCTCTATCCATCTTCTATCCGCCTCCCCCTGTCTCCCTATTTATTTCAGAACCCCCTTCCCCTCCCCCATTTCTGATGAAGGGTCTAGGCCCGAAATGTCAGCCTTTTTGCTCCTATGATGCTGCTTGGCCTGCTGTGTTCATCCAGCTCTACACCTTGTTATCTCAGATTCTCCAGCATCTGCAGTTCCTACTATCTCTGAAACAATTTTATCTCCACAGGAGTTTAGAAGAGGGAGATTGATCTGATTGAAGTTTAAGAGAGCCTGAATGCTTTTGACAAGTTTGATATAGAGAGGATATTTCATTTTGTGGATGAGTCCAGAGCTGGGGAGCACTCTAAATATTAATGGCTAGGACATCACACAGGATAATATTACATACACATAGAGGTTTGATTTTTTTTCTTTCAGAACTGAATAAGTTTAGAAGTCTCTGCCTCAGAAGGCAATGGAGGTGGGTCATTGAATATTTTAAGACAGGGGCAGAAAAATTCTTTTGAAGATTAGTCATACCAGACTTGAAACATTACTTGTGTTTCCCTCTCCACAGATGCTGCCAGACCTGCTGTGCTTCTCCAGCCCTCTCTGTGTTTGTTGTGGATAGACTCTTGCTCGGCAGGGGAATCAAAGTATACCGCAGGTAAACAGGAACACGGGATTCAGAACACAAACACATCTTTATTGATCTTACCGATGGCAGAGGAGGCTCAAGGGTTAAATGGCTCATGATTACCCCTCATTCATATGTTTGTTTGGATCATTATGTTAGTTCAGAGGCAAAATGCAAGAAGGAAGGATCACCAATGTCCCCACACTCCTTCCACCCTTCCCCATGGTAAACAAAGTCCATCCATCATCAGGTTGCAGATCATCATCACACACCCATTACAGAGAATTTATGCTCAATCGCACTTTTAGATAATTTCTACCCTGTTTATTTAATGGCAAATGTATATTTTCTGAACTACAAAGCTTGTTAAAGGTGGCAAGAAACTGTAGTGCAAATTAAGCTCAAGTGTTGAGCTTTTTAAATTGAAAACCTCCAATATAATGACTCATAGAATCCCTACAATGTTGAAGTAGGCCATTCGGCCCATCAAGTCCATACCAACCTTCTGAAGAGCATTCCACCCCCTACGCTATCCCTGTATTTCCCATGCCTAACCCACCTAGCCTACACATCCCTGGACACTATGGACAATTTGGCATGGCCAATCCACCTAGCCTGCACACCTTTGGACTGTGGGAGAAACTGGAGCACCAGTGGAAACCCGGGGAGAATGTGCAAACTCCACACAGGCAGTCACCCGAAGGTGGAATCGAACTGAGGTCCCTGGCGCTGTGAGGGAGCAGTGCTAACCACTGAGCCACGATGCCTCCCAGTAAATCTCTCATAAGACCTTACAGCCCATAAATACGTTGGAAATGTCACTGATGTAATGGAGGAAGAATCTATATTTCTCGTACTCATAGTGAAGCCAGACAGGGTAATGATGAAAAGATGAGATGTCAAAACCATGCAATACAACAGCATGCGTCTTTCTGACCAATTCCTACCTGTTGAAGTAGCAGCACACCACCGCCCCAGCAACTGTTATCTGCTGACAAGCAACAAGAAATTCACTGGTCCAGATCAGTCCAATTACATGGTACCACCACAGGTACCGTATGCCAGAGAGTGGTCTGTACTCAACCAGATTGTCTGCACTAACATGAACATTGCCTAGAGGAGATTTATCAAAAAAAAAACATGAAATACAGAAACACAAAAATCAGAAAGACACAGCACATTACATTGATATAACATTTATTCCCTCAGTAACAAAACTCCAGGCAAGGAAATTTCACCTTTTTTGAAACTGAAACTGATCAGTATTTGGTAACAAACAAAGTCGAATGGCTTGCCAAAGTCAAGAAGCAAATGAAATGATCAAGTCTCAGTCACATGATAAAATGGTCGACAAGGGGAGGTGATAGTCTAGTGGTATTAATCCAGAGAGTCAGGTAACTGTCTGGGTTCAAATCCCGCCATGGTGCAATTTGAATTCAATAAAACTAATCTAGAATTGAAGGTCTAATCATGATCATATCCATTGTCGATTGTTGGGAAAAGCCCATCTGGTTCACTAATGTCCTTAGTGAAGGATGTCCTCCTTTAGGGAAGGAAGCTGCCATCCTTACCTGGTCTGGCCTACATGTGACTCCAAACCTGCAGCAATGTGGTTGACTCTTAACTGTCCTCTGGGCAATTAGGGATGGGCAATAAATGCTGGCGATAACCAGCGATGCCTTCATCCTGTGAATGAATGAAACCTAGCACCTGAAGTATTTATTCCAAGCAACAGAAATACACATCATTGAGGTTCTTGGGGCTATTTATTTTACTTCATCTAAATTATTTATTTCTTAAGTGAGTCAAATGTCTGATGCCTGGAACCTCAGATGGAGCATCTCCCACCTGCCTCACCTTCTGAAAGGCCTGCCTGGGGTGTATCAATAGGTTTTAAGCAGAAAATCCATTCAAAGTATGTTCATCATTCACACCAAAGCCTGGAAGCTACTTTTTTGAGGAGGGTTGGTAATGCCTTAACAAGTGCCAACCTTCTGTATTTTATTTGGTACATTTTTCCAAACCTTTGCAATCAAGATTTCTTCACCTTTACATCGATATTATACGGCAATTTGTAGGTACAAGAGTGATCAATCCCTATTGAATTACACTTTTAGACAACAGCAACTCAGAAAAACAACTCACTGGTTATGAAGCACTGTTGGATGTCCTGAGGCAGTCGTAATATGCCAAATGTAAATGCCAGCTCATTCTTACTTAAAGCTGTAGTGAATGTTGTTGTTATAAAAATATGTTAGAACAGGCAAATAACAGTCCTTTCTACAAATCCTACCACAATAGGAAGCTTCCTCAACATGGTCTGATCTGGCAGAATGATATTTTCTGTCTTATTGTGTACAAAATGCCAAAAAGTATAACAGGTTTTGGGAGACAGAGGGAAGTAGGGAATGGATAGGGGAGGGAGGGGTACTTCAGCAAGATAGGAGAAATGGGTGGGGTGGGGGATGCGGACAGAAGGAGGGAAGGGCAATAGTTAGCTGAGCTGGGGGTTGGGGAAATAGGAAGGGGGACAGATAGGGAGGGAGACACTGACCAAAGTGAGGCACGAGAGACTTGGGCAGAGGGTGCTGAGGTGGCATGGGGGGGGTGCAGAAGAGAGATTATGTGGGGCACGGGGGTTGGTGCTGAAGGTGGGAATAGAGGGTGGGGGATACAGTAGGGAGTGGGGAGAGAGAATGGTGAGGGAAGGCTGGGCATGGGGGAGATTTAGGAGTGAGGAAGAGATATGAAAGGGACAAGAAGATGGGGAGAAAGAAAGTTGAGATGGGGATAAAGAAGAGTTTGGGGTGGGGGGAGAAAGAGAGTCAGGGAATTAAAAGGTTGGGTGAGTAAATGTTGCGAGAGAGAGAGGGCAAGGGAGAGATGGAGGGGGCGGGGGAGAGAAGGGGTGTGGGGTAGAGAAAGAGAGGGCGGGGGGGCAGAGGGCGGGGGGGCAGAGGGGGGGAGAGGGAGAGACGGGGTGCAGATGTGTCTGAGAGAGAGAGAGAGGGCAGGGGAGGGGGGGGGGGGGGGGGGGAGGGAGCAGGCGGGGGGTAGAGACAGGTGAGGACAGGGGGTAAAGAGAAAAGGAAGAGAAGAGAATATAGAGAGAGATGGGTGAGAAGGCTTAGGAGAAGAGGAGGAGAAGTGGCAGGAAGGAGTGGGGGTGGGGAGGAGGGCAGAGGGGAGGAGGCAAGAGGGAGTGAGATGCGAAGCATTGGTCAAGAGTGGTAGGAATAGGGTTACAAATGGGACAAGCAAGGGAATGATGTGGGGCAAGAGGAGAGGAGATTGGGGTAAGCGTTGTGGCCAATTAGGAGTCAGTTAGGAACTTGGTGGGCAAGAAGGAGTTAAGGCAATGAAATGGTGGGCAAGGAACATGCTGGGAGAATCGAGAAAAGACAGAAGTGGTGGGGAGAAAAACAAATCAGACAGTGGAAAACAAAGAGTTTTGGATTCTTGACCAGAATCGACAGCAGGAGGAGAGAAACACAAATGTTATTTTACTTGCGTTTGTGCACATTCCCATTGCAAATTAGCTGGTTAATTAATAGCTAGTGGAAAATTAGTGGTAATGATTTACGGTAACACTGGACAGTCATTTCTGATTTCCTGGAAACAAAGCATCTGTTTATAATCAACATTGACAGCTTTTGACAGGCAGTGCAGAGGCGCCATCGTGTGATCTATATGGGTTAACAGAGGCAGTGTAATCTCAGCACATTCTTATAGCTGGGAAAGAATCTGCCTCCCAGATACCTAACCCATCCTGGACAGAAAGGATACTGAAATCACGTGAGATAGTTGATAAAATAAAACTGATTCAGTATTTGTTTTAAAATGAGAAAATGTTATATGCCAGTGGGGCATGTTCTACTCCTGTTAGGCACATAAACCGAGTCACAATATTGACAGGATTTAGGGGATGCATCGAACTTTAATGCAAACACAATGTCAAAGCACAGTGGTTCAGTGGTTAGCACCGCTGCTTCACAGTATCAGGGACCCGGGTTCGATTCCACCCTCAGGTGACTATCTGTGCGAAGTTTGCACATTCTCCTTGTGTCTGCATGCGTTTCCTCTGGGTGTTCCTGTTTCCTCCCACAGTCTGTGGATGTGCAGGTTGGCCATGGATAACGCAGGGATAGGTTAGAGGGGTGCATCTGGGTGGGATGCTCTTTGGAGGGTCGGTGTGGACTTGATGGGCCGAATGGCCTGCTTCCCACACTGTAGTGATTCTACAAAACAAAAGCAGTGCTAATGTAGTTGGGGACCCAAAAAACGTGTAGCTACAGGATCGGCTGCAATTGGCTGAGGTCACAAGCAGCTTTGGTGGGCTTTCGACACAGGTGTGATTGGTAAAGCAACTTGGTCATAATGCAGTGAAACCTTTCTGCAGCTGCCTTCTGTCCCCATCATTTAACAGCGCCCACTTTTCCTTCCAAATATTAAAACAAGGGACTCGGGGCTGACAAAAGCAACCAGCACATGATTCAAAAAGCAGAAGAGGTAGCAGAAGGTGCAGAGAAATAATGTACAAGGATGATGCCAGAAATGCACGGGTAAGGACGGACTGACATCTGGCTTTCCCTTCTGCTGAAACGAGATACTGGAGCCATATAGACCTGATAGAGGTCTGTAAAATTCTGAAAGGTCTTGATAGACTGGACGCAGAGACCATACTTCCTCTTACAGGGAAGGAGCACAACTAATGGTCAACAATAGAAGATAGTCACCTTCAAATCCAAGAAGGAATTTTACCCAAAGATTGAGGAGGCTATGGAACTCGCCACCAGACAAGGCAGTTGAAGCAAGGAGTAACAGATGAATGTAAGTGGAAAGCTTTAAAAAAAGCTAAGAGGGAGAAGGGAGCAGAGGGTGTGACGGTAGGTTTAGATCAGGAAAGACAGGAAGAGCTCATGAAGAGTATGGAATGCCCGGGTTGACTGGCCTCTTTCTGTGCTTTATATATAAAGGAAGAGCAGGGAGGTTATGTTGAAGCTGTACTGAACTTTAGTCAGGCCACAGCTGGAATACTGCATGCAGTTCTGGTCACCATGCAACAGAAAGGATGTGATTGCACAGGCGAGGATGCAGAGGAGATTTACCAGGATGTTGCCTGGGATGGAACGTTTCAGCAACGAAGTGAAGCTGGATAAGCTCGGGTTGTTTGCTCTCGAGCAGAGAAGCTTCAGCGGGGATCTGACAGAGGTGTATAAGATTATAGCTGCATGGACTGGTGAATAGAAAGCAGCTGTTTCCCTTAGTTGAATGGTCAATAACAAGGGGATATAATATTTGAAGGCATGAGGTTTACAGGGAATAAGAAAAATTTTTTTTCCTAGAGGATGGTGGGTCTGGAACACACTACTTAGGAGGGTAGCTGTGGCAGGAAACCTTACAATCTTTAAAAAGTATTTAGATGAGCACTTGATGTGTCATAACATTCCAGCCTATGGGCCTAATGTGGGCAAGTGGGACAAGTGTGGGTAATAGCGCATTTCAAGCTTAATGGGCTGGGGGATCTCTTCTGTGCTGTACAATGCGATGACACCTAAGCAATGCTAAAGCTTCTCCCCAAATGCCTTGCAACATATATAAGGAGCAACAGGTGACAAGGAAAAAGGTAGGTCCACCCAAGGACAAAGGAGGGAATTTATGCTTGGATCCAGAGGAACTGGGTGGGGTCCTTAATGAATACTTTGCATCGGTATTCACAAAGGAGAGGGACATGGTGGATGGTGAGTCTAGAGAGGGGAATGTTGATATTTTAGGGAATGTCAATATAAAAAAAGGTGTTGAGTGTTTTGAAAAGCATTAAGGTAGACAAGTCCCAGGACCTAATGGGATCTATCACAGAGTACAGAAGGAGACGAGGGAGGAAATTGCTGGGGTCTTGTATGGAATCTTTGCATCCTCTTTATTCACAGGTGAGTCCCAGAATACTGGAGAATAGCCGATTTTATTCTTTGTTTAGGATATGGAGGTGCCGGTTTTGGACTGGAGTGGACCAGGTCAAAAATCACACGACACCAGGTTATAGTCCAACTGGCTTACTTGAAGACACAAGCTTTCGGAGTCTCGCTCCTTCTTCAGGTTTCTTCAGGTGTTTTTCTGACTAGAGATCCGTGACCAGTCGTGTTCTGCAAGGCTCAGTGTGGGACCCCTGTTGTTTGTAATATATATGAATGATTTAGAAGAAAATGTAGGTGGTCTGATTAGTAAGTTTGCGGATGACACAAAGATTGGGGAAACTGCGCACAGTGAGAAGGATTGCCAGAGGATACAGCAAAATATAGATAGGCTGGAGGCTGAACAGAGAAATGGCACATGGAATTTAATCTGGACAAATATGAGGTGATGTGTTTTGGAAGGTCTAATGCAGGAGGGAAGTATACAGTGAATGGCAGGACCTTTTTAGAAGCATTTACATAAATCTAGGCGTACAGGTGTGTAGTTCCCTGGGAGTGGCAACACAAGTGGATAAGATGATTAAGAAGGCATGTGGCATGCTTGCTTTCATTGGTCAGGGCATAGAGCGTAAAGACTGCAAGTCATGTTGCAGCTGTATAGAACTATAGTTAGGCCACTTTTGGAACACTGCATACAGTTCTGTTTGCTGCTTTACAAGGAGGATGTGGAGGTTTTGGAGAGCGTACAGAAATGGTTTACCAGGATGTTGCCTGGTTTGGAGGGTATTAGCTATGAGGAGAGGTTGGACAAACTAGGTTTGTTTTCACTTGAACGCCGTAGGCTGAGGGGCGCCCTGATAGAAGCTTACAAAATTATGAAAGGCATGGATAATTTGAGTCTTATTCCCAGGGTAGAAATGTCAATCACCAGGGGACATTGGTTTAAGGTGAAAGGAGGAAAGTTTAAAAGAGATGTGAAAGGCAGGTTATTTTTTTAAACACAGCGTGGTAAGTGCCTGGAATGTGCTGCCAGAAGAGATGGTAGAAGCAGATACATTAGCAACATTTAAGAGACATCTTGACAGATACATGAATAGGCAGGGAATAGAGGGATAAAGACCATGTAGAGGCAAAAAGATTTTAGTTTAGAAAAGCGTTTTGTGTCAGTGCAATCTTGATGGGTTGAAGGGCCTATTCCTGTGCTGTACTATTCTTTGTTCTAACTCTGACTCCTGTAACCTTGCACAGTGGGGACCTTTTCCAGAATCTCACCAGCAAATATTTACGTATTTCAGTGAAAGGTAACAACTGACAAAGGTAGGTTTGCTCTGAAGCTGATTATGCTGCAATTCCTCTGGGGATTCTTTAGACTGATGGGATACGAAAGAAATGGGATGAAAATGATATGAGCTGCCCATACTCTGCCTTGAGCAACAAGTGCATCCTAATGGTTTCTTTTAAATAAAGATAATTCATGGACTTAAACCAAACTTGACCTTCTCAACCAAAACTACTTTGGGACACGGAATAGGTCATTGACAAAGCAAAGTTAGAAAGGTCGATGTAGTGATTGTAATGAAGTCAGCCAGGTGGAACTTAGTTCAGTTACCAGCAGGTCAGGAGTTCATTAGCTCCATGGCTTGGTTGGTGCGACTCTCAGTTGATATTTTTAGTCTGATACAGCAATAGTCACAATGGTCAAAAATGATCAAGTTTGCAAACATTCTCCAAGTCGTGAAAAGCATCTCCTCTACCTCAGTCTGGAATATCCAACTCCTGGTGCAGCATTGTGTCATTCATCCTGCACGTGGGAACACAGAAAGGTTTTAAAAGAATAATGTATTCTCAGGAGCTGAGTACTGCTGACAAAGTGGTAGTTACTTCTCAACTCTAAATGCCTTTGAGCATCTGGCAATGAGCTGCCTTCCCAAACCACTGCAGTCCATGTGCTGGCTGGAGATACAGAATTCCAGGATTCTAGACATTGCCCTTTCAAACTCTCTGGTACAGGACATGCCAAATGGCAGAGAGTTGAGGCAATACTGCCGGAATGGTATTATGGATTAGTTTAGGTGAACAATCTTGACTCGTGGTCTAAGGGTATCTGCCAGAACCCACTGTTGGCATCAAGTTTCACGAAAAACTTGGTTATTGCCAATTTTAGCTAGAGGCCCAAACCTACCAAACAGACTCCCTCCACCCATGGCAAAGCCTAAACAACTTTACATGATACAGAATGAAGTAGAGCAAGATAGTGGGCAAAGACACATCCCTGCCTGATGCGCTGAATGCTGTCAATGCTCAGTTCGAGCAGAATGTCAGCGGTCACTGCTGCAGATGTCAGATTGGTCTTCCTGGGAGTCAACCCAAGGAAGGCGAGGGGCCTGTACAGTGTCTCCGGTCAAGCACTCAGATCCTGCGCGGACTCCTGCTCATTGACTACAGCTCCGCCTTCAACACCATTATCCTCTCCAGACTGATCTCAAAACTCCGTGACCTTGGTCTCGGCTCCACCCTCTGCAATTGGATCCTCAGCTTTCTAACCCACAGACCACAATCAGTGAGGATGGGTAACTGCACCTCCTCCACAGTAACACTCAACACTGGAGCCCACCAAGGATACATCCTCAGCCCACCGCTGTCCTCCCTGTACACACACGACTGTGTTGCCAAATTCTGAAAAAAAGTCATCTACAAGTTCGCTGACGACACCATCGTAGTAGGACGGATATCTAACGACGACGAGTCAAAATACTGAAGGGAGATAGAGGGCTTGGTGACATGGTGCAAAGAGAACAACCTCTCTCTCAATGTCAGCAAAACTAAAGAACTGATCATCAACTTCAGAAAGAAAGGAGGAGAACACGCCCCCATCGACGTCAACGGAACTGAGGTTGAGAGGATGGACAGTGTCAAGTTCCTCAGAGTGACGATAACGGACAACCTGTCCTGGACTCCCATGTAGATGCGACAGTCAGGAAGGCTTCCTCAGGCGGCTCAGGAAATTTGGCATGTCCATAAGGATCTTGACCAGCTTCTACGGATGCACCATTGAAAGCATACTGTCCGGGTGCATATCGACCTGGAATAGCAACTGCTCTGCCCAGGACCGTAAGAAACTACAGAAGGTGGTGTGCACAGCCCTGACCATCACAGAAGCCAACCTTCCATCCATGGACTCCACTTACACAGCTCACTGCCGCAGAAAGGTTGCCAACATCATCAAAGACCCATCGCACCCTGGTAACAATCTCCTATAACCTCTTCCGTCAGGCAGAAGATACAGAAGCTTGAACACATGCACCTGTAGGTTCAAGAACAGCTTCTTCCCAGCCCTTGTTAGGCTGTCGAATGGGTTCTTTAGCCTCAAATAATGCTAATCTTACAAGCATTGGTCTCACCTAGTACACACCCTGTGCAATGTAACCTGTATGCCTCTGCCTAAGTTTTTTTTAACAACCTTTGATCTGTTCATCCTTCCTTACTATGATTTGCCCTTATTGCTCGTAAACAAGGCTTTTCACTGCACTTCGGTACATGTGAGAATAAATCTATCAATTTTGCTCAACTATCATTGACGAAAAAGGATGAATTTTTCTTCTCACTCCTTTGCTTTACGAGTTAAGATCCTCACACAATCTTGGTTCTCCATTTGTCTTGAGAGTAGTTACTAACCTTGAGCACTATTGTGTTGATTCTGTTACTGGTGATACTTTCAATCATGCTGTTTGACTGAGGTTTTACTTTTCCTATCACAGAATGAGGAATTTTCCTGGGAGTATACAGGCAGATGGGTTTCGCAACTATTTGCAGTGTAATGTGGTTATCCTGGATCAATTTGCCCAGACCTTCAAATAGCTTTGAAACCGCTAGCCTGCCTTCATTGTGAAGCACCGTATTCACTCTCTCTAAGAGGCCCCAGATGAACACAGCATTTCATATTTCACTGACATTTCATCTTCTGTGTCTAAGCTTTGTGGTGATGTGAAAAGTCAAAGATCTGGCTGTGGGTGCTGGTAATCTGAATGAAAAAGGAATGCTTCAAGGGTTCAGCATGTCAAACATCATCTCAGGAGAGGGAAAGAGATATCGTTCTTAGGGCTAAAGGAATCAAAGGGAATATGGAGACAATACTGAGGTGGATGATAAGCCATGGTCGTATTGACTGGTGGAGCAGGCTGGAAGGGCTGAATGGCCTACTCCTGCTCCTATTTTCTCTGTTTCTCTATGTTTCTATGTCTCCCTTTAAATGCTCAATCTAGACTAATCTCTCTTTCTGAGGTCAGTGCATATGATCAGTTACAGCATCATCAGTGAAATGCATCTCATTATATCACAACTATACTCTATGATGTGTTTAAAACAACTGGTTTTAGGGGAGATGGCAGAACAGTTAATATCACTGAACTGATAATCGGGAGGCCCATACTGTCACTCTGCAGACACAGGTTCAAATTCTACAGCGACAACTAGCCAAATTTGAATTCAATTAATACTTTTGGAAAATAGTTTCATGGTCACTATTACTGAAACTATCATTGATTGCTGTAAAGAACCATCTATTTCACTAAAGTCCTTTAAGAAAGGAAATCTGCCTTCCTGACCTGGTCTGGCCTACACGTGACTCCACACCCACAGCAATGTGGTTGACTTTTAACTGCTCCCTGAAATAGCCTGACAAACTATCCAGTTCAAGCCTCTCTGCTCCTATGATGCTGCTTGGCCTGCTGTGTTCATCCAGCCCTGCACCTTGTTATCCAGTTCAAGGCCACTTCGGGTTGGGCTGTTTCAGGGGGCATTTAAGAATCAACCACTTTGCTATGGGTCTGGAGTATATGTCATGATGCCCACATCTCATGAAAGAATAAAAGTAATCGATCTGAAGGATGCAACTTTTTAACATATTCTGGAGAAGTCTTTTATAAGCTCGCCTAGATATTCTGGAGTGGGTAGCAACAATCAAATAGTTTGATTAATGATGCACAGGACACAATGCCACAGCAACTCACCTGCAGTGCCCAGACTTAGAAGCACAGCCACCCAGTATACCCAGAATAACGTGAGAATGACGAAGGTCCACAATGGCTGGAACAGCAAGAGAGGGACACTACCAAGTAGACCACTGGCAACTCGAAACAGCTGGATAGTCAAACTGATCCTTTTCCACGTCACCAAGGTCAGTACAACAAGAACAACCTGTGGTGGGGTTGGGCAATAAATCTGTTAGCAAATAACTGGAAAAAGACTTGCAAAAGCAAAATATTGTGTGCAGAGACATCCCTCAAGGGGGTGTAAGAGCCTCCTCCTCCCAGGGCAAATTACACTGCAGGGGCCAGTCTCCCGGGGAAAATCCTGCTTTAAGTGTGGGATGCGCATCCCTTTACCCCTGTCCCCCTCCCCATTTTCTCCTTCCATTTTGCAGACAAATCTCCCATGTGTTGGTGATACTTTGCGGCCTTCAAAGTAATCAAAAGGTCATGAATGCTACTCTCACTTATTCAAATGTTACCCCCCCAACCCCACCCCTCCCACACTCTGGTTTCTGGTTCCAGAGCTTGGGGAAGTCAGGCCAATTCACCCTGCCCTTAGGGATGGGGGGTTTTGGCTGTGGGTGGATATCTGAGTGAAAAACCACAGAGCTTTCAAGGTGCAGCAGGTCAAGAGCAAAGACTTAAATTTTCCGGTTGGTGACCCCACAGAGATGAAGGAAGTGAGAAATGTATTAGATTTTGAGCACGGGACAAGGGGGCAGGAAGAACAAAAGGGAAGGTGACAGGGTGGAGGGCAGGAGGGAATTAATGAGAACAGCTTCATTGAAAATCAAAGGGAATGGAAATGGTACAGACCAAGAAACAAAACAAGATCTCCCTAGCTCAGGTGTGGAAGGCAGGAGAGCAGTGTCTGATTGTAAAATAAATGGATTATGAAAAGGAGGAAATAAAATCCAGCAAATATAATACAAAACAAAATGGAGGCTGAGGTTACAATTTAAATTTAGTGAGATCAATGTTGGATCCAGAAGACTGTAAAGTGCATGGTTAAAAGTAGAGTTGCTGTTCATGTGTCGAGCTCTGCTGGAACACCCTGGCAACCTGAGGACAGAAAGGTCAGTTCTGGTGAAGGGTCACTGGGCTCAAAGCATTAACTCTGTTTTCCTCACCATAGATGCTGCCAGTCCTATTGCGTTTCTCCAGCATTCTATACTTGTGTGACTGAAACATCAGAATGGGAGTGAGGTAGGGAATTGAAATGGTAGGCCAAAGGTAGCTCAGGATGGGCTGCTGGCTGAATGGAGAGGGAAACTTGTATTTATACAGCCCCTTTCAGGATACCCAAAAACACTAGGCAGCCAAATATTTATTTTCCATTTCAAAACCTTATTATGTACACAAGAACAGCAAGATCCCATAAATAGCATAGGAACAAGTTATAGCAAGTTGTTTCAGTGGACTTTATATACATTTAGCTGATCTAGATGTTGATATGTTTAACATCTGTCCTCAAGGATCATGCCTCCAAACATACAGAACTCCTTCAGCATCAGCCCAATTAGCCAGTAATATAGGGTCAGAATTCTAGGGTGGGGCTTGAACCTGTGACCTTCTGCCCAGAGGGGAGAATACTGCCATTGAGCCACGCATAAAATGGGAATTACTGTAAAAGCAAAATGGAACACAGCCATTCATCTCAATCTGGTTCAAGTTAATCACAGTGCAGTTACATTAATAAGGCCCAAAAATAATTCAAAAAATACCACAAGCATTGTCAGCTACTAACGGTCCCCATTAGCAGCTTTTCATTTTCCCAGGCTGACCTTTACCCTTTCTTTTGTCTGTCCAACTGTTTTTATCTCTCTCTATATGTATCCATGTATCATTTACTCCTCCACCCCATCTCTACTATATGTACCAACCTTTTCCTAGTTACCATCAGTTCTGAAGAAGAGGCACTGGGCCCGAAAGGTTAACTCTGCTTTCTTTCCACAGATACTGCTGGACCTGCTGAGCTTTTCCAATAATTTCTGTTTTTGTTTCTGACTTCCAGCATCCACAGTTCTTTGGTTTTATTTCTCAAATATAGTCCCACTTAATACCCAGCAAAACTGTATTCTTATAGATCTATTTCACATTGTCAAGCAGGGCTTTCTAAAAAAAAAAGTTTTGGGGAAGTAGGATGTTATTCAAAATTCAGATGTTTTTCCTGAATGAAATATATTTAGATGTGGAAACCCCCTTCATGTTCACTGACTTAGTCATCCATTTTTCATTACAGACTATTAAAAAAAAATTGAACCTTCAGTTCTATTCTAAAAGAAACACTTTGGAAACTGTTATTCACAAAAAAATCAGACAGAACCTGTGCTTGTTCATTCCTGACTGTTCCAAATGCATTCATGACCCAAATATCGGAACATTGGGAAATCCCAAACCATTCAGTTCAGATTTCAATCTCACCTCTGCATATTTAATGTATTTTCATGTGCAGGAAGATAAAAGAGCGAAGGTGAAACGTTACAACTAAAGCACAAAAGTAAAATGAACAACTTCAGGCCTGAGATTGGTACTTGAACCTGTATTATGAATATGACTTTTCAGCAACTTCTCAACTTCAGGTTACTAAATGTATTCCTTTACTCAGTAACAACTCAGGCAGATTTTTTTTTTTTAACAAGTTTTAAACATCTTACCGATACGATGGTTGCAGTAATGGCAAATCCCAGAAGTGCTTTTGTATTTTCCTTTTCCGTTTCCAGGACTATATTGGGATCATTCATATTGTCATAGTACAGCCACCACAGAACACCTGACACAACTGAACAAACAAAAATTCAACTTTCATTCAACTTGGACAGAATGTCTGAAATCTAACATTTGTGCAACATCCTGGGTGAAAGACTCTCACTTAATCAAAAGATGCTGCTATTTAAAATCCAGATCTTTTTGAGTGAGTTTGTGTGCGCCTTTGTGGAAGGGGAGGTCACAGCCGTACAAAGGTAGCTTAGATGCAGAACTTCTGCATTCCATAGAACACATACTTAGGCTACTGGCGGAAATAGAAATAACAAGACTACAATTACAGCAATCTAGCCTTGGCCAGTAGCTAACAAGAAACTAAGAGTTTAAAGCCAACATCTTGCCAAGAATAGTTTAGGTGGAGTATGTGTTACAAAAATGAGGTTTATAATATTATAAAGTGGGGAAAAATGAAATGTGGGGGGTGGGGTGCAGGGGCTCCAGAGACTTGTGCTGAAGTCTGCCTGACAGTAAGCCTGGCTGCTTTGATGGTTCAAGATCAAAGGAAGGCTGAAAGTATTTTGCTTGGAAGAAATTACGAGGTATTTATACTTCGAGACAATGACAGTGGCCTGTGTGTTACCAGTGCAATTTCTGAGTCTCTCAAAGTCCTAGAAAAGTCATGTTGATATAGAGTTAAAAACAGCTATGCTATAAATAGTCCATTTACTTCTAAGATCAAAGCAAGTTGGAATCAATAATAGTTCATCAGGATCTCTAACTGGGTACAAGATATTGATGCTTCACCCACCGTGGGGAAAGAGTGCAGAGGAAACAATTGTGATCAGGTTCCCTATAAGTCAGTGACTATCACAGGCAGACAGTGGTCTTGCTTGACATTGTGAACTACTACAACCAGATGCAGGAAAGAGATGGGGGTCTTTAGTTGCAGACATGCATCCTGCAGACATTTAAGACTTTTTTCTGGAACCATCAGGAATGGCTCCGCTGCTGATAGTCAATTTATGGGATTCTCTGGAAACTGTGGAAAGCAGCTGCATGTAGTCACTTGATGTTGTTACTCTGTGAAATGCAGATACCCACTGGAATCTCAAGCGGTTGTGGGCTGTTTACTGCAAGGATTGCAACTTTGTGGAGAGGGCATTATGCAATAAGATAAACATAAAATGATCCTGACTGTAGTTTACAATTTAAGTTAGCTATAAAAAGAAAACAAGAGTTTAGCCATGGGTGTCTTCCTTATTGTTTGTTACAGTAAAAGTTTCAACTTGTCTAAATTTTTCAAACAATAATTGAAAGTTCAAATCTTTATTCTAAAATTATTGGTTTCTACAGAGATCATAACACTTGCAATGTGGTGTAGCTTAGATTTTCTTAAAAATGAACAGTAATCAAAAAGGGGATGGGAATGTGAAAAAAGACAATAGAGGGTCACCTACAGAAAATATGCTTTGTATGATAACAGCAAACTCTAACCTGATGAGGGATGGAGTCCTTTTAGATTTCACATTTTCTCTTTAAGACTTGCATTTTGAGGAAATGGGGATTCAAACTAGAATGGGGGAAGCATTTGCTAAGTAAAAGCATGGGAACATGCAACCAACTCATCAGTTAACGAGAGTAATGATGAATGGCAACAGATACAGTCTTTTCAGACTACACAAGTTATATTGCTGCGTGTCAGTTTAATAATCGAGATGTAATTAAAGTGACAAGGATTATGGGTAAACATGTGCATACAGATTAACAACAGAACATGCTGGGTAGACACAGCTGGTTACAGATATTGTGGTGTGCCTGTTTTACCGATGCTAAGTACAATAGGGGTAACCTAATACCAAACCACACCGACATTGATCCTACTGTCAATTTGTGGAGTCTTTTTTTCTAGCCATCAGTCCCACAGGGTGCTCCAACCTGTCTCCTGGGGTCTGATGGAATGGGGAGGGAACCACTGTCAGCAGTGAAGCAGGGAATGGCCAAGTAGGGGCACTGGGCCAATCACTGGGGATTTGGGCTCTGGAGGGGGTGGGGCATGTGGGCTCTGGCACATTGGTCCCATAGCAGCTCTCAAAACATGAGGACTTGAGGAAAATTCAGTCCCAAAGTATGTGCCAAAGTTCAGTTCAAGGGGACAACGTAAGGTGAAGCAAGGGTGATGCGAGAAAAAATCTTTTTTCACTCAGTGAGTAGTTAGGGTCTGGAATGTGCTGCCTGGAAATGTAGGGGGGAGCAGGTTTAATTGAGGCATTCAGGAAGGGCATTGGATGATTATTTGGATAAAAACAGTGTGCAGGGGTATGGGGAGAAAGCAGGAGATTGGTGAAATAACTCCACATAGGCCAGCATCCCATCACCAAGTCACCATTTATTTACACGTGCGGGGTCCTTGACTTTAGTACTGCCTCTTCAGAGTCAGCTCCTAGAATGCCAGATTCTATGACATTCCTGTCAGCCAGGACTCCCTGATTGGACCAGATTAACAGCCACAATCAGGGAACTCATATTCTAAGAGGTGCAGCTGGCTGACCTTGATACAATCCTGACAATTGGCATGAGGTAATGATGCTCATTTGAAGAGCTGGTGTAGGCATAATGGACTGAATAGCCTTCTTCTGTGTTGTCACACTTCTGTGATTGTGTGATTAGACAGAACCTCAAAAGGAGCTGCTCCTCCAACCACAGCCTGGTTCTTTCCCATATTCATTGCTGATAGGGTCAGTGGTGATCCAATCAACAGAAGTGCAGGGCAGAACCAGTCTATCAGGAGCATTGAGAAGATACTTGGCAGTGTGAGAAGGTGCAGAATGAGATGGATGTGAATTGGCAGGGGCAGCATCAGAGAATCGCGGCTGGAGATGTGCAGGTGGTTGGGGGAAGGGGGGGTTGTGGAGGAGGTAGAGAGAGAGAGAGAGGGAGAGGGAGAGGGAGAAAGAAACAGACAGACAGACAGAGAGGGAAGCCACAGAGTTCCTGGCATGGAAGATGCAAGAGATAGATAAATAAATATAAATATGAGAAAGACAGAGAGAGCAGGAGGCTACATGGGTTTGGGCTAAGTCTGCAGGAGCAGGGGAGGCAGAAGATAGATTAAGTGGGTAGCTGCAGGGGTGGGGGCAACACAGGACAGAAAGAAGGGGCTGTATGAGAGAGAAAGGGGGGCAGAAAGATGGGGGGGAGGAGAGAGAGAAGGAGACTGCAAGGGATGGGGCGGGTGAGTTGGGGGTAGTTGGAGAGGAAGGCTGCAAGAGAGAGTGAATACCTTTATACCCATCAATGAAAAGAATACTCAGCTCAGCAGGAGACAGGACAACTGGAAATCACTGACCTAATGAAATCTTTGCAAATGAGTGTGGAATCTCTAGTTTACAGCTGCATATGTTCAGGTGCTACTATATTGGGGGGTGGGGGTGGGGGGGGGGGTGGGGGTAGGGGTAGAATGTACTGATCCTATTGTAATGAACACTGTGTCAATTGTTAAATTTAAATAGGAGATGGAAATTTGAAATGGATTGAAAAGGCTGGTAAAGCTGGCTAAATTCTTCTAGCCTTGTTCAATGCAATAGAAACATGTTGCCTGTGATCTCAGCTGGCTGTGGAAGGGTTGTTGTTCACTAATGCCTGTTGTGCCAATTTAAATCGTATAGTATCTAAGAATTGAATGCGGTGATTAGGTGTTATGGCTTTAGTGGAGGGTACATAATTATTGAGGATATTGATGAATTCTTTCAATTCTGCTTCTGTGTGAGTCCAAGTACCCAATAAGTCAATACAGATGCAAAAAGGTGCAGTTACTGTGTGACAGCAACACTTAGTGAGTGAATTAGTGACAATCATAGAACCCTTACAATGGGAAGCAGGCCGTTCAGCTCATCGAGTCCACACTGCCCCTCCAAAGACAATCCCACCCAGATTCATTCCTCCATCCTATCCATGTAACCCAACATTTCCCATAACTAACTTGCACATCGCTGGCAATTTAGCATGGCCAATCCACCTAACCCACACATCCCTGGACTGTGGGAGGAAACCGGAGCATCCAGAGGAAACTCACGCAGACACAGGGAGAATGTGCAAATTCCACACAGACAGTTGCCTGAGGGTAGAATCAAATCTGGGTCCTTGGTGCTGTAAGGCAGCAGCGCTAACCACTGAGCCAGCATACCAATGAACAAGTAGCTCCCAATAATCAAATATGTCTCAAAGGCTAATCTTGAGAAGAGCCTCTGCAGGATTTAGGGTTAAAAGTTTAGGTAGTAAGGGGCCCTGAAACAATCAAAGCCCCAGGGCCCCTTATTTCTCTCCTGCACACAGACTACTTTCTAGTGTAGCAGCATCTGAAAAAGGGCATGTGAAGTAAGTGGGTTGAGTACTCTTTGTCAGAATTGTTAATTCTGATCAGAAGGCATTTTTCCGAATGTTAATTTGCATTTCTGCCTCTCTCACGGACTTGTGTGCATTTGCAGTATTTTCTGTTACTGTTGTTTCGGTTTTGGATCTTTGGTTCCTTAGTTCTTTATCATTGCAACATTTTAAACAGAGGCAACTTGCGAGCAAGATGAAAAGAGGAAATCTAAATGTTCTTTACCATAAGAGCAACCTGCTGCATCTTATCTCCTCACCTCAAGATTCAAAGCATTCAGAGAGCATCATTTTCCATCTATCTGGATACTTTGGGTCTGGCTATTCAATGAGATGGATTCTCATTGGAAATGTCCTCCTGTTACTACAGTGTGGATGATGAAACTGGTTTAAATGAATCACACTTACACAGCAATCCAAAAACCACCAGGGCGATGAAGATATGAACCAATAATGTGGCAATGAATCGGAATACTGCCACCATAATCAAGGAGAGGACTGTGAAAGAAGAGAGAAAAAGTGACTATGATTAATACAAAAGCACAACACTGAGGATGTTGGAAATCTGAAATCGGATAAGAAAATGCTGGAGAAACTAAGCAAGCCCAGCAGCACCTGTGGACTGAGAAACAGGGTTTCAAGTCTGATATGACTCTTCATAGCAAATCAGACTCGAAACATTAACTCTCTCTCTCTCTACAGAAGTTGCTAGACCTGCTGAGTTTCTCCAGCACTTTCCATTTCTAATTCATTATGATTGAAGTTTGCCATGTAGTGCATTCAAACAAGTTTGGATTTCCATGGTTCATTTAATTTTGGTAAAAAATTAAACTCTAATATTAGACATGTTTTCCAATCTTTACACCACGCCCACTTTTTTCTTAAAAACAGTTCAAAACTACTTTGGTGTTTCATTCCAAATTGTAAGACTGCATCAATTCAGGTTTTAACTAACCCACTTCCCATCGTTCATCCTCTGAAGAAATAACACAGTGTGGAGCTGGAGGAACACAGCAGGCTGGGTAGCATCGGAGGAGCAGGAAAGTTGATGTTTCGGGTCGGGACCCTTCTTCAGAAAATTTCTTCAGATTTTCTGAAGAAGGATCCCGACATGAAACGTCAACTTTCCTGCTCCTCTGATGCTGCCCAGCCTGCTGTGTTCCTCCAGCTCCACACTGTGTTGTCTCTGACTCCAACATCTGCAGTTCTTCCTACCTACTCTGAAGAAAATCAGTTTTATGTTTGTTGGGCAGTGGATCACAAACAGTTTCAGGATGCGAGTCTGTGCCAAGTAGGCACAGAATCATTGAGGGTAATTGTAACCATGGTCACCAGATGAATTAAGATGAGTGGAAAAGGAAATTGTAAGATTAAGGGACACTCAGCTCCCTAACATCTATCCTCCAGCTGGTAATAAAGGTAAAGATGCTCCAAGTGTATGAATCTACTTGAAGACATTAACATATTAAAGCTCTTAATCTAGAAGGTTCAAACTATGCTGAACCAGCTCCATTTGGGTTTATATTCCTTAGCAGGTGACTTGTCCCAATCTGAACAAGAGGAGACCAAACTTTTTTTAAAAAGTGGTTTCTCTAACATTGTTTGTTGCCTCATTACTTGCTCAAGCAATGGCCACTCACATTTATATACTGCCTTTGACACTACCCCAAAGTGTTTCATTGGAGTATGATCAGACCTTCAAAACTGACACTGGGCCAAAGGAGGACACATTAACAGATGCAACTATAAATCTACATAAAGTCTTTAGTCAAGTGTCACAAAATAAGAGAGGCGAAGGGACTTAACGAATAATCCTTAAAAGGATATGTGAATGAGTTACTGTGAGATGTGGAAATTCACAGAAATACTGATATGAGCTTTATAGGTGAAGGCAAAGTTGTCATAGCTCTACCAGACCATAGCGCTGCTCTCTCATTCAAGAGAGATGACTGGTGATGGTTTAACCTGAGGGTTACCACGTATCAGGCGAGGGAAGAGGTTGAGATAAAGAGTCCTTCACGGTAACCTCAGCTGGTGAGGAAATTGAATCTACACTGTTGGCATCACTCTACATTGTAAATAAGCCCCCAAGCCAACAGAGTTAATTCACCCCCAAGTGATCTTTATACCTAACTGGAGAAGCACCGGGGGAAATTCTAGGCCAACTCAACACTGTCTAGAATTTATAACCTTATTGCAGTAATGATCTTTCTTACCAGAAGGAGGAGTAGGTTTTTAATCTAACTGCTGTATGCTGGAGAAGGTCAGAAGTCACACAACATCAGGTTATAGTCCAGCAGGTTTATTTGAAATCATGAGCTCTCAGACTGTAGCCCCTTAGTCTGGTGAAATGAAGAGAAGCATATGAGCACAGAATTTATGCTTCTCTTCAGTTCACCTGATGAAGGAGTAGTGCCACGAAAGCTTGTGATTTCACATAAACCTGTTGAACTACAACCTGGTGTCGTGTGACTTCTGACCTTGTCCACCCCAGTCCAACACCAGCACCTCCACATCTGGGCTGGAGAAACAGAGCCTCTTGGAGCTGTAAAGCAAGAACTACAACCCACCACATCAATCTGACCTGTAGCCATCTGTGCTGCCCAGTACAACTGGATCTTCACAAGCAATCTTTTAATGAATAGTTTCAACATATTTTTTAACCATAAAACTAAAATACTACAGTCGTATGCCCTTGTTTGCCATGATCTGCTCGCAAAACAAAGTTTTTCACTGTACTTAGGTACATGTGACTGCAATAAATCAAATCAAACTTTACACAATAATGTTTGCTGTTTCAAACATTTCCTTGGCTTCTCATTGGACAGTTCATTGGAATGCAACATGTGACAACAGAATCTACATGCCACATCCCTGTCACAATTATTGACTGGTCACTATGCACAGGATATATTTAACACACCCTGCTGTCTACATGTTTACATCCCCTGGGGGACAAAGCATAATCTTCTATAAAGTTACAGTATTTCTGTCTTTATTCGATCCTTAGCAGGCAACAAACATTACCTACGGCAAAAAAGCAGAGTCCTACGATGTACTCTTTGTTCGCCATTGTGCCACCAATGATGCGTTGGAAAAAATCACTCTCCTTGACCACGTTAATAAGGACGGTGAGAAAGTGAGAGTAACAGGCAGGGCTCTGAGGGACACAGCGATTGAAGAGTGGGAGTGACTTGCTGAAAGAGAAAAACATTTCATTTGTCTATAACAAACACATCCTCATAAAGAAAGGATAAAGTCATACTGGAATCCAGGACAGAAAAAGGCTCTTTGGCCCTTCAAGTCTGTGCCAGTCAAAAACAACTGCCTAACTATTCTAATATCATTTTCAAGTACGTAGCCTTGAATGCCTCGTGTACACATGTGCACATCTAAATACTTCTTAAAGGTTACCAGGGTTTCTGCCTCTACCATTCTCACAGGCAGCGAGTTCCAGGTTCCCACCACCCTCAGGTGAAAACAAAAATACTTCATAGAATCCCTACAGTGTGGAAATAGGCCATTTGGTCCAACAAGTCCACACCGATTCTCTTAAAAGCATCCCACCCAGACTCACCCCACCTTACCCCATCCCTATAACCCTACATTTTCCACAGCCAAACCCACGCAGACACGGGAAGAATGTGCAAACTCCACACAGACAGCCGCCTGAGGCTGGAATTGAACCTGTGTCCTTGGCACTGTGAGGCAGCAGTGCTAAACACTGAGCCACTGTGCCGCCCACAGCCCTGCTAAGCCTCCTGCCCTTTATCTTAAATCTATGCCCTGATTATTAATCCATCCACCACAGGATAAATGCCTTCCAGTCTCTACTGTCTACGCCCTCCATAATTTTATACATCTCAGTCACAGGCCCTGATTCTCAGTCTCCTCTGCTTGAATGAAAACAACCCCAATCTATCCAATCTCTCTTTATAGGTTAAACTTCCAGCCGTGGCAACATCCTGGTAAGTCTCTGCACCCTCTCCACTGTAATCATATCTCTCCTATAATGTGGATTCAAGAAATGCACACAATACTCTATTTGAGGCATAACTACACTTTATACTGTTCTAGCATAACCCTCCTTGCTTTTAAACTCCATGCCTCAGCTAATAAAGACAAAAATCCTAAGTAATAAATTTGCTTTTATATGGCACCTCTCATCAGGTTTCAATGTGTCTCAGCAGTACTTGAAGTTTTCAAGAAGATTTGTAGCTCGGGTTGTGGATGAGGTTGTAGACATGGTAACCAAGCCAGTGGGTTTGGTTGCAAATGTTTTGTCACCCTGCTTGGTAACATCATCAGTGCACCTCCGGTGAAGCGTTGGTGTTCTTTCCCACTTGTTATTTATATGCCTCGGTTTGCTGGGGTGGTTGGTACCACTTCCAGGTCTGTTTCTCAATGGTTTGTACACAGGGTCTAATTCAATGTGTTTGTTGATGGAGTTCCAGTTGGAATACTAGGCCTCCAAGAATTCCCTGGCATGTCTCTGTTTAGCATAATCACACAAGCCAAACAGAGACATGCCGGGGAATTCCTGGAGGCCTGGGATTCCAACTAGAATTCCATCAACAAACGCATTGAATTAGACCCTGTGTACAAACCACTGAGAAACAAAACCGGAAATAATACCAAACAGCAAACCAAGGTATATAAATAACAAGTAGGACAGAACACCAACGCTTCACTGGAGGTGCACTGACAATCTTACCTAGCAGGGTGACGAAACATTTGCAACTAAACCCACCAGCTCAGCGAGCATGTCTACAACCTCAGTTGTATATATTTTTGTTTAAAAATCAACTCAAAGTTGGATGCATGTTGGTTGGTAAGAACATACTTCAGATGTGTGTGCATACCTGTGAATTTCTCTATAGGAAGATAATATTCTTATGAGAGTGCAGTAAACTATTATTCTAGGAAAATGCCAAAATAATTAATACACTTCAGTCTTTTGCTTCATTTATTTAGCAGGGTGTCAATGGAGTGACACAACAGCTGCAGTACGACTGTACAAGTGATCATTGAGAACATTTTACAGGAGGAGACTATTGACTGCCAGTAACTCATTATCACGGATTTATAAAATGAAGTCAAATAAATTCAATTAGGTATAATCATGGAGGAATGTACCAAGGTACAGCCAAGTTAATGGCTTTAACTTGTCTGGGCAGGTTATGTTCCTCTGAACTGTAAACAAACCACGATCATGAACTATAAATGTTGGATAATCTCACCTTGGAGGGACTGGTAACTCGGGACAGAGGTGAGCTGCTTTGGAAGGCTCTGTGTATTCAGAAATGTTTAAACTGTACACACACAAATAGGAACCTAAAAAGCAGAGCAAATATCAGTTTAATCATACCTGACTTCAGAGATTAGGATCAGAAACTCAGTTTTAGGAGCAGAATTTAGTTGTTTGCTGGCAAAAAGACAACCATGTTGTGATTTTTTTTGACTCCACATGCCTTTAGCAGTGCTGCACTGTTCAATTCCACGCAAGTTATTGTACAATGAATCAAAAATTACACTGACAAATTAACATATCTTCAGAATCCCCCAGAAGCCAACAGATGTGCACATTTATATTAAATATACATACACACTCTTTTATCTTCACTCAGGGCATGTGGGCATCACTGGCTGGGGCAGCATAAATTGCTCATCCCTAGTTGCCCATGAGAAGGTGGTGGAGAGCTGCTTTCTTGAACCACTGTAGGTAACCCCACAATGCTGTTAGGGAGAGAGTCCAGGATTTTGACACTCAGGAAGAACGATATATTTCCAAGTCAGGTTGGTGAGTGGCCTAGACCAGAACTTGCAGATTCGTGGTATCTGCTGTCCTTATACCTCTAGACGGTGGTGGCCATGGGCTTGGAATGTGCTACGGAGACGAGGTGACTATCTGCAGGGGATCTTGTAGATGGTACACACTGCTGCTACTGAGCGTTAGTGGTGGAGGGAGTGGATGCTTGTGGATATGGTGTCAATTAAGTGGCTGCTTTGTCCTGGATGGTGTGAAGCTTCTTGAGTGTTGTTGGGGCTGCACTCATCCAGGCAAGTGGGGAGCACTCCATCCCACTCCTGACTTGTGTTTTGCAGATGGTGGGCAGGTTTCAGAAGTTAGGAGGAGAGTTTACTCATTGCAGGATTTCTATATGGGTCACAAGTCCATCCAACAAGTTTCTTATACAGTTTGAAAGAACCCAGTTTGAAGTGATAGGACGAATAAGTATGATTAGATTTTATCTTCATACTGTGGAAAAAGTGAACACATTAAATATAGATCACTGGTATCAGGTTTAGTTTTGATGTTGGTCTGGAAGGATACTGATTGTCAAAGTCATTCAAACATCAAAGAAGGCCATTCAGCCCACGCAGGCTCTTGTCTGATTAGAAGCACCATGTAGACAAAACATTGCGCAGATCAGGGTCTTTTAAGTTTTCATTCCATTTCTATGTCTCACTAACTCAGACATTGACATACTGAAACAGACATTATACAAGAAACAAAATGGGCTGAATCTGGTAAAAATTTGCTTAAAACTTGACTTTCTCTTCTACCCATGGAAATCATGATGCTCTTCAAATTCAAATCAACTGTTGATTTGATAAACAAAATCTACCTTTCCTTTGATTCAATAAATTAAGAATGAAACAAGCAGCAATTATTACAATTTGCAAATGCTCACCAGAGTGTGGTGCTGTTCTATTGTGTTCCGATTTTCAGTTGAAATAATTGCTGCATATTTATGTTCCGCTGTTCTGGTTGAACAGGGCACTACAAGACAACAATAACCTGGACCCATGTTGGTTAAAGGCCACTCATGAATTAACATGAATACAGAACATTGCTACCGGACAAAACAGAATACTATATATGAAACATGCAAGTCCTTACTTTTAAGTGGCAGTTGTGTCACTTGGTAAACATCAACAATTCAGAAGATAATGTCACTCTCTTCAGAGGGATCAGGTTCTTGCTACTAGTTTACCACTGACTACTGTATAAGGGCTACAGGACCATAGATACTGTGGAGTTGTTCCTAGGACAGTGTGATCAGAGTTAAGAGAAAGAGAAAAATAAATATAGAGTGAGGAACAAGGCTGAAAGCTAAATAAAAACCAAAAGAACTGCAGATGCTGTAAATCAAGAACAAAAACAAAGTTGCTGGAAAAGCTCAGCAGGTCTGGCAGCATCTGTGGAGGAGAAAACAGAGTTAACGTTTCAGGTCCGGTGACCCTTCCTCAGAACTGAGACCCAGCAGCTTTAGGCAGTAGAACTTATGGAATAGCCTTTCAAAAATGTACATGGATCACGACTGATGACGTTAATGATAAAACTATACTCCAAGATGCTTAGTGATGAGGTGTCAGGCTGTGAAATCTTACTGTAAAAATAATTCAATGGATGGATAGGTGACCAAAATGTCTGAAAAGCTTTACTGCTGCAGCACACTCAAAGAGATTCAGAACTGGTTCGTTTTTCAGACATTGCAGTTTTATAAACTGATAGCATCACATTAAAACTGGAACAACTACTTACACAAACCATGGAATATTTAGCATTGTAAAGTAAATGACACCCACCATAACATCCTTATGAAAGCTGTTTAAGTTAAATTGCTGGAACAATGCAAGCAACCTTCCAATGAGATAACTTTAAGAGCAAAAATATTTTGAAAATATTTTCTGTGGTCCTTTGTGTAGTTTAGAAAACGGAGCTATCACAAATGTATCTTAATCCTGACAGAGCTTTACTCAGAGACTGGCAATAACATCAAGCTTACTACTTGAAGGGGAGGTTGGGGCAAACAGCATTGATGGATTTGAGGGGCATCTAGATAAGTACATGAGGGAGGATGGTTACCATAGACATGATTGATAAGCAGAGAAGGTGTTAATGGGTGGGAAGAAGTCCATGTGGGTCAATGATACCCACATACACCAGATAGACGGAATGATGTGTTTATGTTCTTCTGTAATTCTATGTAACTGTGCTTACCATTGTACTGAGCAAAGTGTTTCAGCTCTTCTAGACCATTCAGTTGCTCTTGAGGACAGCCAGATACACAAATAGACAATGAATTTATTTTATGATTCTTAATGTCCAAATTGCAGGTGTTGAGAAAAAATACGTGCCTGTACGGAAACAAAATATCTTGTTAGCATTTTAAAAAATAGCAATTTTTAAAACAAAATCCAGATCAAGTGCAGAAGTAGTTTCTCATCATTGAATGACTGTGTCCACACATGGTTTGTTGAGTCCAACCATCAGTTCAATGGGCACAAAGACATGCTTGCTGTCAGTGGGAACAACACAACATGTCACATACTGTCTAGATATTCACACAAATGTGCAGGGAGAGTTCCTTTTCACTGGCTTGAACAGTGTGGTTTCTGGAGGTCAGAATTTCTGTGAGCACAGTTTGGAGGAACTGCAGAGCAATAAATTGATGCTAGAAGGTTAAACTCACAGTCACCCTGAATGCAGGAGGTGCTACCTCCTCATGGTTACTGTTAGAGCATGTAAGAACAGACATAAGCCATTCAATGAGGTTGTGGCTGATCTGATAATCCTTAGCTCCACGTTTCTGACTTTGTGCCATAATCCTCAATTCCTTCGCTAATTAAAAATCTACCTCAGTCTTGAATAATGTCCCAGCTTCCGGTAAAAAATCCACAGATTCACCACCCTCTAAGTAAAGAAATTCCTCCTCATCTCTGTCCTAATTGGGTCAATGTGAAAACGACGCATTTCACCCACTCTATCCCCTGTTAATTAGCCAATCCTCTGTCCGTGCTAATACATCTCCCTGAAACCGTCTGGTCTTCTCTTGTGTAAGAACCTTTTATGTGCAACCTTATCAAATAACTTTCGAGCTCCAAATACACTATGTAATGACTCAGGAAGCCTCACCCAAAAGGAACATAATTTATTACTGAACACCAGAATAGAGCAAAATAAAGGTTGGTCCCAGCCTGGAACAGACAGATTTGCAGACCCATCCCTGGGGAACTTACACTGAACAAGCTGCACAGGAAGATTAATTAGTGATTCTCCATGGGCTTTCTGGGAGTTATCACACACTACATCCTTTTTATTCTCCGTGCTGGTTACATCCTCAATGAACTTGCTTATAGTTGTCAGACACTATTTCTCTCCCATGATGGCTGCTTGAATGTATTATGATTTTCTAATTTGCCTGTTATTTCCTTTATAATAAATTCCAGCCTGATGGACTTCAGGCTTAATTGGCCTATTGTTTCCTGCTTTCTGCCTCCCTTTCATAATAAAAGGTATTACATTCATGGTTTTCCAAATATCTAGTGAATTCTGCAAGGTTATAACCAATGCATCCACCATCATTGCAGCCAACTATTTTAAGATACAAGAATTCACATTCATGAGACTTGTTGATGTTCAGTCCCACTTGTTTCCCAGTACTTTTTCTCTAGTGATAGTGATTATTTTGGGTTCCTCACTCCATTTTGATTTTCTACGATGCTTGGATGTTTTTATGGTCTTCTACCATTATGTTGAACTGTGCTCTGATAAGACCTTGCAAGGACTATTGAAATGCCATCTCTGGATGACATTGAGCAATGAGTGTGGGAACAGGAAGTTGATGACAGAGACAGCTGGAGTGCAGCAACAAGGAAAGCAATCCACGAGTTTGAAGCAACCAGATCTAAGGCTGACAAATAGGAGAGATCGGGTTGTACCAGAGCCTTTTCAAACCAGGAGTTTCCGTGCATTAACATCTCAAGACCTTGAGGGCGAAGAACTGGTGTCTTCAGGCACCATAGATCTTGTCAACTGCTGCATAGAAAGGCTTTTCATGATCATTAGCTGTGGGCAATCTATTATGATTTTGTATTATTAGAAACAAATGAATTGGTCATTTATGAATTGATTTCATGTGACTAAACAAAACAAAAGAAAGGTTAGCATTTATTTTGTGTTTTTTTGACCCCTCAAAGTGCTTTACAAACAGCAATGTTCTCTAAGCACAGTCCCTGTTGTGATGGAGGAAACATAACAACCACCATGCAAATAGCTCGCTCTCTACAAACAGCCATGTGATAATGACCATTTCTTGTGATGTTGGTATTTAATATTAACCAAGCTGCACAAGGATTAACTCCTGGCAAATGTGTAATCTGAAAGTTAGCTCTTCAACAGTGCAGTACTCCCTCAGTGAGCACTGAGGTGTAGACTTTGATATTTATGTTCAAGACCTTTAGTAGAATTTGAGTCTTTTGATTCTGCATTACCAACCAGGCCCCTAGCTGACTACACTTCCAGTGCGTAATTTGACTGTAAAGCCATATAGGGCATAGGAGTTTACAAGAGGCAAAAGAAAAAGCTTTAAAGCCATGATTCATTGGCTTACACACTTAGCAAGGAATCTCCCAGTCTTTTTCTAAATTGGCTCTATTTTGTTCCCTCTGATTTCACCCATGGTTAGTAAATTGGAGCTGCTTATTTGGTTAGTTTGCCTTCAATCAACCATCCAAAGTGCAATGTTTCAAAAAGATAATTTAATGAATATATAGACTGTATGTACACACTGATAAATCATTTAAAAGGTACCCACTTTCTGGTGGTCATGTCTTGTCCTGACAACGAGGCTCCTTTTATCGGAGAGTTTTTCTTTCCACAAATGTTTCCAAAGCTGTCATACCCAAAGATGAGTCTTTCTGCAGAACCTACTGTCACAGAATAGCCAGCTATAAACATCTGAGTGGAGAGATCAAACAACCAGCCAACTGTCAGTAAAGAGAAAAAACATAATTGTTGTTCAACAGACACTTAGAGCTCCAAATAATGTTCCAAAATATTTTATACCTTTCTTCATGCTTCTTCTTAGAGTTCTGGAAATTAATCCCCCCTTACCTTCTGCAACTCCATTACCATCTCCCCCACCATTTCCCTCCTCCCCCAAGGGATGGCCAATAATGCCAGTCATGCCAACACAAAGGAATTTAAAAATCAAATGAATTAGTTTTGAACTTTAAACCATAATTATGTAGATAAATATGACAGCCAAACTGTACAGAGTAAAGTCCCACAAACAACAATTGAGATAAATGAGCAGCACTTTATTTTTGCTGGTGTTAGTGAGAAGGAAGACTTGTCTAGGACTGACAGATCTCCCGGCTCTTAATGTCAGAATCATTGGATGACAAGGTAGCTTCTACCCTACTGTGGTGGACCAAGAATTGGCAACTTCTGCAAATGACTCACGAGTTCTGCAAATTGCTGTAAGTATTAATAGCTCTTCCTTTTGCTATCAAATTCTTCAAACTACATTTACATTTCTCAAGGAGATTCGAGACTTGTAAACAAACCACATCTTCTGGTTCAGCTGCAGTACACTATCACATCTAACCACTGGGAACTATAGGAAAAACAATTCCATAACAACACAGTTTAAGAAGTGTTCCAAGCTGCACAGTTGTTGTCAAAACAACTGAGAAATTTCAGTGGGGGTGGAGCGAGACATATTGGTTTACATTGCCTTAGGGGTGTGTGTGCGTACGTGTTTGGTGCGTGGTGTGTGTGTGTGTACACGTCTTTGGTTTGTGTGTGCACACACGTGTGTGTGTGTGTATACATGTGTGGTGTGTGTGTGTGTGTGTGTGTGTGTGTGTGTGTGTGTGTGTGTGTG